ACAGCAACATGGATGGAACTGGAGAACATTATGTTACATGAAATAAGCCAGCAACAAAAAATTACTTTCCTTATTCATATGTGGAAGCATTTCCTTATTCATATGTGGAAGCTAAAAAAATGTTGATCTCATTGAAAAGTACAACAGAGGATATTAGAGACTGGGAAGGGTAAGAAGAAGGGAGGGACAGGCAGAGATTTGTTGAAGGATATAAGATTGTAACTAGACAGGAGAAGTAAGTTCTAGTGTTCTATAGCATTGTAGGATGACTATTGCTAACAATAATGTGTTATATAATTTCAAACAGGTAGAAGGAGGATATTGAATGTTTCCAACACAAAGAAATGATAAACGTTTGAGATGACAGGTACACTAATTACATTATATGTACCACTATATATTATATGTATCAAAACATCACTATGTACTTCATGAATATGTATGATTATTATTTGTCAATTTAAAAAAATAAAATAAAAGTAAACTGGTGATTCACTAACTGATTCACCTTAAAACATAAACATAAAAGTAAAATCTTGCACTCCACAGACATAATTCTAAGTAATGCAGCCTGTAAGAAACAGGCAGTTGCCTCTTATCTTCCTATTATATCTCGTCCCAACCCTCTGTGTAGGAGGGGAAAGGGTGGCAGTTATTTTGTGCGCAGGTGGCTGAAGTGAAGTTTACTGGATTTGACTACCATCTAGTGCCCAACCTGCATTATTGGTTGAACTGAGGGCTGGACTTGTGATCGCCATCTAGTGCTCAGAGTCCAGGATGGTGAGTTTCAAGGTCAAGGCAGGAAAATAGAGAGCCTTTGGTAGACAATTTCCTCTAGGAAAGCAGGGGAAAGCCCACACATTCTGCTTGACTCTATTATTACAATGAGATTTTAAAAATATGTTACCTTTTTTACAAGTCACAATTGGTCCAGTAAGTCCTGAAATCACATCTTTTACAGCATCTACATGGGAGTGGTAAATCCTTGTCACACAGTTACTGTCATCGGGGCCAGGCCCCTGCTTTTCCTCTACAAACCACTTGTAAGTATACTGTTTCCCTGGCTCCAGGTAGTCAGTCATCTTCCATTTGCGGGCCCATAGTATTACCAAAATAGAGAGCACCTGGAAAACATAGTCTGCACTGAGTTTACAGTAATCATTGGGCAATACTATTTTGAATGTGACTCCAGCTTTCTCCATTAAGCCATGAATGTATGTTAATTTGTATTTCCAGAATGAAGTATGCATTTCTTTTTGCCTCCTGTGTCCCTGAGTCCTCCTTAATTGGCTTCCACCTAAATGCTCAGTTTGGCCACAGTTTCTAGACTAAATTGGAATGGAGCAGGCAGTATATTAACAGACTATCACCACCTTTACTGATGGATTCAACAAATATTTACTTTACACCTACCATGTGCTTAGATCTCAGATACAGAGGTGATCTCTGGACTTTTGAGTTGCCCTCTGTATTTTCCTCATTGCCAGTCAGACTTGGGACCCAGGGCATCAAGAAGTACCCATGCCACCTACACGGGGCCCACTGTAGGGGCGGCCCTCTGTATAGCTTACATTACTCTGAGCTATTACCTAAGTTCTGAATTTGGAAACTGGTTCTCTTTCCTTTGTTGTTTTCAGGCTAGAATTTTGCCTCAGATCCCCACCCCTTGCATATGAGATCCTGCTAACTATGGATAAAGTTCCTTTATTCAATAAAGGACTTTGAAGCACGAGCAACCTTCCATTCTCTATCTTTCGGTACCCACCAGCTCCACATTAAACGCGAAGAAATCTACTAACTCGTGACTGATTGACTTCTGCACTTTCTTCCTGCCCAGTTCCCCATCTGGACTTGGTCCAGTTTCCTCTGAGTCTGTCTCAGTCCAGAGGATTAATTCAGGGACTCTTTCTAGCTTCTTCCTCATGCTTCCCTGAGGGAATCCTCAA